TGGCAGTTTGGAGTCCCGTTGCCAGAGCGACGCATAGCGTCACATCCTGGCAACGGCGGGGGCAACATGTGTCGCCGTCCCCGCGGCAGAGCTCCGGTAAAAACTCGCAGATCCCCCGCTGCCACTTGGCAGCCCTAGAAAGGGATTAACCTACTCTGAGACTCCTTCGGGTAGTGAAGGGTGGGGTATATATCCAATCACCAAGGAATTACACTGGGGAGAAAGACACTCATCTGCCATGCTACTTCTGTGTCAACTTCTATGTGGAATAAACAATATGTTGCACCAGTTCCAAGCTTTCCAAGATAGCAACTAACACTGGCTTAAAAAATAATTTTGATCTCCTGGAATCTAACATTTGGCTACAGTACCCTTTTCTTCTACCTCAAGGCTCAACAGCATGTTGCAAGAATTTACCTACTGCCATGATCTCAGCAAAGTGAAGGGGGGGGACATGCAAATAGAAGTAGTCACAGACAGGGATAGATGAGTGAGGGGAATAAATGCAGTGAGGGGATTTTTGCAAAGCTGTTTTGGAAATTCACCATGAAGGAATGTCGGATACCCTGGGAAAACAATGCTAGCATAACTATGAAACTAATGCAAAAGAAGTTTAGTTGCACCAGAAAGGATGTATGAATCTATACTAAGCCAATTAACCATCACAGGTATAGAACTCCACTGTAATTATGCTTGGTGAAAATGGTAAGGGTGAATGCACCCTAAGACATATAGGACCTGACAGAGTAGAAAAATAAAGAAAGAAAAGCTCTAAGAAAATAGACAACTACTGGGTAGCATTCCACTTCACAGCAGGGAACAACAGAGGAAACTCTGGTATAAGAATAGGTTGCCTTGTTTGTGAGCTTCTGCAGAGCACTGTCAGACAGCTACTTCAGAATAAATCAAATGGGGTCAGAAGTCCCACCAATTTCAATGGAACACCTTTCCAGGCAGACACTGATTCAAGTCCATGGAAACAAGTGCCAACTGCTTGCTTCTATGCCTTTAATTATCATGGTCAGCCTCTACTTTTCTGCTTTGAGACTGGAGAGACTGGTGGTGAGTTCACATTTCATCTCTCTCCGTCCCCTAAAAGTAGCATCCTAGCAAGCTTGGTTACCACAGTAGAGATTAGCTGTAGTGGTGAGATGACAACTGCAGAGCCTGAATCAACTATAGTGTTCACTGGGCAACAATTAGACAGTACCTATCTCAATGGGTTATTAAAAACTGTAATTTGCTATGCAACTTCACTCAAGGATATAATGTGCATACACCGGATGGGGACTCCATAATGCTTTCAACAGGATAAAAGGATGGACAGTGTTCTCTTTTTCCTAATCAGAGCTTTAGAACGGAATTTCTGTGAAACAAGGGAAGTATCAGTGAGAATGGAGGGAACAGTAATTTATACAACAACCAGCCGTCTCCTCCCTTATTTCCCGCCTGCATAGAGGACACCGGATAATTTTCTGTGGAGTTAAAGTGCATGTTCTATTAAGGTTTTCTCGGGGGTGGGGAGGCAGTGGAACTGAGTGAACAGAAAGGTTGCAATGCTAAATTCTGAAGATTAAGTGATTTCAGTGGGGCTTATTTTTGTGTAAATTTGCTTAGGATCAGGTTAAAGGTTCCATAGCCCTCTGTGAGAAGGGGATTGATAGCTAAGCAAATTTCCAATGGGGCTTCACAAAGTTGCAGGCAAAATCTTAGCATATCAGTACATAATTTATTTCACGGAGCTATTTAACAAGGGACAATAAGGCTATTGAAGGTATCTGAAAAAGTGTGCATGAACATGAAACCATATATCCAGAATTAAACTTTACTGGTTTTAAAGGTGCCAACTGTACTCAAACTTTGTTCTAAGGCTGCTCTGTGATGATTATTCATGGGGAAGGGAACAGAGAGAAAATTAGCTTTTGTGTCTAAGCAACCTTATTCTCAAGGAAAATGGATAAAGGAAATTCATAGTAGGTCTGCAGAGTGCTGGTCCAACCAATAGTGCTCTATCAACTACCACAACCACCCTTCAATACTGACCAAACAGAAGGGGTGACACAGCAGGCCACGCAGAAAAAAAAGGCCTGTTCTTGACATGGCCACAATCTCCTTGCCAGATCAGGTTCACAGACTGTGTTTTATTTGGGGCCACTGCCAATACCTGGAAATCCAGGACTGCTTTATTTCACTTCAGCTGATTTGCCAACTGCACCCTCTGCTGGAAGACCAGGTTCTTGCCACTGTCATCCATGCCTTAGTGACCTCCGCATTAGACTACAGTGTATTTAATGTGCTCTATGTAAGGCTTTCATAATGCAGAATCCTACAGCCGGCTACACAGGCTGTCATTTTTTTCCAGAAGAAGAAGAGGAGATTGGATTAATACCCCGCCCCTCACTCGGAGTCTCAGAGCGGCTTACAAACTCCTTTCCCTTCCCCTCCCCACAACAGACATCCTGTGAGGTGGGTGGGGCTAAGAAAACTCTGACACAAACTGCTCTTTTTCAAGGACAGCTGTGCCAGAGCTTGTGACTGACCCAAGGTCACATCAGCAGGTGCAAGTGGAGGAGTGGGGAATCAAACCCGGTTCTCCCAGATTAGAGTCCGCACACTTAACCACTACACCAAACTGGCTCTCACACCAAACTGGCTCTCAAGGTGCTTCAAAGCACTAATCGGCTTGGGTCAGTCTGAAGACTTAGGGAATACTCCTAATATGATCCCCCTCCACCTTGCAGACATCAACATATGAGGGAGGCCCTGTTTTGCTCCCATCAGAGAGTGTGGTCAAATAGACCCACAGTAGGACCTGTTTGGTGAAGGTCCCAGAGTTCTGGAAATACAGGAGAGGCATTCAGCCTAATTGTGCCAAACTTCTCCAAAACAAATAAAAACTTTTTTTCTGTAGCATTTTAAAAGTTGATGTTTTCAGGCCTTGACTGTCTTTTGGTTCTTGATATTCTACTATTAAGGGTTACTTTTAATGTTTCAACTGTGCTACTTATTTTACTTCATCCTGCATCTGGAAATTGGTGTAAAGCTACTTATAAGTACAGATGGCTGCCCAGACTGACAAGTCCAGAAGCCTCAAACTAAATAGGAAATCCTGGGAAGGACCCAATTCACAGTCCCAAACTCCAGACCCTCGGAACAACAGGGTCTGAGACATTGGGGCAAAAGGTGTGTCTCCCATTCCCACTCCTGAAGTTTCCCTAATAGCTCATGACAACTGAACAGATCCACATGTCTGTACATTTACATGCAACTGGGGCAGGGAGGAGGGTTACAAAGGAGGGGTTTGAAGCAAAACAATATGCAGCAATTCATTCCCTCCACGGAGGCAACCAAACGGGGAGGAAGCAGCGATATGAATGACTCAGCTGGAGAAGCAAGAACCTGACAGCACCCCTCTGCTTCTCAACACTTTGGGATTCAGTATCTGTGTGTGTGTAAATTGCACTCATTTACAAAATACTCCACCCGCCCTCTATTTTTGTCCACAGTGTACCTCAGTTCTTTGCAGGGCCAGAACAGGCAGACCACCCACCCACCCACGGCACTTACAATTTATAAACAAGATTAGAGCATCTGTATGTCACCTCTCCAGACCCTGGCTCAGGACAGCTAACAACAACAACAAAGGTATAACACAAAACAATATCAATCAAAACAATAAATTGATAAACAGTAAGACACTAAAAATTCAGTCAAAGCTACCCACACAGCTCCAAAACATCTATAAAACTTGAAAGCAATTAGAAAAACAGTTTCAGGGAAACAGAGAAACAGTTGCCTAATAAGTTAAAAGACTCCTTGAAAGGCTATGAAAAAGGAGCAAGCTTTTCTCCCCCTCATTGCTACCGCTTTATCCTACCCCAAATGAATGGAGGCAAGTGCTGATTCACTGAGACAGAACAAAGAAAAAGGGGTTAAAAGTGTAGATGGGCCAGGGAGCCACTCCCCCCAAGCACCCTACCCAATGTCTCCTCTTCCTCCCCCCCAAAAGATGGGGACAGCTATATTAATTTTCTCACCAGAGTTGGCCAAACACAGCTTACTTCTTCCTCCACCCCTGAGATTCCTTCCCGCTTTCATCCTATCCAAGTGAAAGAAGCCGAGTGCCCATTCACTTGGATGGAACCAGGCAAAGGGAGCTGAATGGGAGTGGGGAACCCTTCTTAGGCTAAAACTCCCACACAATATACCCCCCCCAAAAAAAGATGAAGACATATATTAATTGGGGGGGGCAGCCAATTGCTGCTTCTACCCCAACCCCTGAAACTTTCCTCGTCCTTTATTCTATTCAAGTGAATGGACCTGGATGGTACCACGGAAAGAGGGCTGAAACGACAATGGAGAACAAAACATCCCACACAATTTCTCTCCCCATAAAAGGGGGGGGTAGTCAACTGCTGCCTCTATCCCAACCCCGGAAGCTTTTTCTCCTCGTCTGTATCCCAAGTGAATGGAGCCGGACGAGACCGTAGAAAGGGAGCTCAAAGGGGGGGGTAAGGTGAAGAGCCCTCCATGGAGGAAGGGACAAACACCCACCACAATTTCTCCCTTCCCCGTGCATTTTTTTTTTAAAAAGACGTGGAGAGAAATATTAATCTTCCCGCCGGCCCGGGGGGGGGGCACCCAAAACCCCTGGGCTTCCCTCCCCCGGTCTGGCCTGTTACCCCGGGGCCCATGAGAAAGCCTGAGGCAGGGCTCGTCGGAGCCCACCAGCACCGCTCGCCGACCACCCTCCTTCCGAGGGGGCCACTTCTGTCCCTCCGGGCGCCCCCTGCCTTGCCCGGGGCCAGAAGCGCCACCAAAGCCGCGGGGAGGCCGGTCCGGTCTCCTTCCGCTTCTTTGCCTCAGTCAGACCGGCGTCGCCGTCGGCTAAGGTGAAGAATTCCGCCACCCTCTTCCTCGTCGCCTCAAATAATTTCCCCTTCCTCAGACCAGGACGCTTCGGCCCCTCAAGCCCGGCCAGGCAAAGCCCCGCCACCCACCTTCCTTCGCGGAGGGAGGGTCTCTTCGTCCAGCCGCGGCGGAGGATGCTGTGTCCCGGCTCAGCCCAGCCAGCCACGCTCCCTCGTCTTGTTTTCCCCCCTCAGGGACTGCGGCGCAAACAGCCACGCCGCCGCCGCTCGCCGCCGCTCCTCCCTCTGCCCCGCCTCACGTTGGGCCCGCCCTGCACCGCCCGCCCGCCCGCAGACCCCACTCGGTGTCTTCTTTCCCCTCAGGAGGTGGCTCCCGGGCAGGGAAGGCCGAGCCGCGCCGGTCTGCGGCGTTTCTAATCGACCGTCGTGAAAGAGGCGAGAAGACAATCTTCAGTGGGTTTACTCGGGAGTAAGGCTCCTTGAGAGGTCGACGAGAAGGGCTTGCTTCCAGATAAAGGGCTTCATTCAGTGTTTCTTTAATTAATTTTTTTTAAAAAAAAAAGCTGCGCAGTCATATAGGTCCCTGCAAAAAAAACAAACACCCTTCAGACAAAAACAAACCCCTTTCACACCTGTAATAAAAAGATATTACAGGGATTTTGTTTCTATTCAGTGTGCACCTAGGAGAGCAGGGATACTGTCCTGGGGGAGTAACCCAGTTACTCCCTCTTTCTTCCTCCTGAAGGAGAATAAATGGTTCTCCTTTCCCCATTTTAATTTATTACTTATTTGTGTGATTTGTAGTCTGCCTTTCTCAGGGAGATGCAAGACGGAAGACATAATGTAAGTCAGTATAATCAGCAGGATGAGGAGACAGTTAATAATAATAGGACTAGGACAGCAGAAATCTGAAACAAGGCACACACATTAAACATTGTTAAAAGAAAGAAATTGTGTTACCCAAGTAGAAATATAATACAGTCAGAGAATAACATACGGCAACAGATAATATATATCAGTACATTGGATTCTGCAGAACTTCTGAATTGTTTCTCTAGCCAGGTCCTGTTGCAACAACCCTTTCTCCAATATACACTTACTACCATCTGTGAGAGCTAGTTTTGTGTAGTGGTTAAGAGCGGCAGACTCTAATCTGGAGAACCTAGTTTGATTCCCCACTCCTCCACGTGCAGCCAGCTGGGTGACCTTGGGTCAATCACAGTTCTCTCAGACCAAAAAAATAAACCTAGCTTGCCACAAAGAGCTAGAGTTTCAGGCTGCCAGACAATCTTTGTATCTCCTGGTTATACTACACCCACTACCATACGATAATCAGGGCTATTTTGGGGCAGGAACGCACAGGAACGGAGTTCCGGCTGGCTCCCAAGTTGGCCACGCCCAGCAGGAACTCATTAGCATAATAGGCCACACCCAACAGCAGGAACTCATTAGGATTGGCTACATTAGGGGTGTGTGGCCTAACATGCAAAGGAGTTCCTGCTACAAAAAAAGTCCTGGGTTTTGACAACAAACAAGGTAAATAGAATAACAAGCAAAAGGTGGGTGTGGCTGGATGACCACACTTCTGGTAACATGGGGGTGCGGCCTAATGTGCTAATGAGCTGTGCTATCAGGGGTGTGGCCCAATATGCTAATGAGTTCCTGCTGTTGGGTGTGGCCTATTATACTAATTTTTCTTTTTCTACAAAAAGAGCCCTGATTATTATTTTATTATTATTTTATTATTATTACTACAATCTGTGAAGTAGGCTAGGCCAAGAGACAGCAAGCAGATGGCCCAAGGTCACTCCGGAAGTTTTTTTACAGAATGGAGGGGGGTGTTTTCTCCTCATTTTATACTCAGTAACAGCCCTGAGTCCTGGGCTGAGCTGGGCTAGGCTTAGAGAAAATGACTGGTCCAATGCATGGGCATTTGAATCTGAGTCTCCCAGGTCCTAGTTTTACACCACTACTTAGAAGCAAGTCATATATGATAAAATATGTACACATACATTGTAAGAAATCAGCTCACATTGTGCTTACACACTCAGTATTTTGCTGCCCAAAACATGGACTGGGCAATTAGCCCTAACTTCATTACACATATGACAAAATGCACCTAGCAAGATATCTACGTTTCTGCAGTCATCATGCTCTTGGAAGGTAGGATAGAATAAATAATGTGCTAGACTGTTGGACCAGGGAAACATTCAAATCTTGGTTATTCACGAAGTGCACAGGGTGACTTTGGGCTGGTCACTATCTGCCTAACCTACAACACAGGGCTGCTGTGAGGATAAAGGGGGTGGGACCTGTGCATGGAGATTAAAAACCGAACAAACATGTGAAAGTGTCTTATGCAAGTCCTGTTGTTGTTCAGTCGCACAGTTGAGTCTGACTCTTCACGACCCCATGGACCACATCATGCCAGGCCCTCCTGTCTTCATCGTTCCAGAGTTTGCCTACGCAGGTGTATATAGCATTACAGCAGGGCTCTAGTCGGGGGGGAGCTCTCAGGTTTTACAGCATGGCTGAAAATCTCAAACAAATATCTATGGGGAATTCGTGACAAAAGTTAGAACTGGCAATTTTATATTCTCAAACATGACTGGACTTGCCGAGACTTTGTTAATGTAGGCATTCAATTTGTCCTCTCCTTAACCTAAAATTAAGCCCAGTTACATGTAGCCTGCATTTGCACAAATCCTTGCACTCTAATCCTTGCCATTCCCATTTCTGCCTTATGTCCTCTGTACCAAATTTTTAGTTCATTCTCTAGACATTGGCAGAAACCAATGTCTCTTCCATGCTTATATCATTACCCTTTAAAAAGCCATGTACATCACTGGTCTTACAACAATCTTGCAACCTTGAACTATCTCAACATCAAACTGAAGAGTGTGTTCCCATTACCAGGGAACATTCTAGCTCAAACAACTGCAACAGTAGAAAAATTATTCACTCTTTGTTTCCTTGGAGAGACGCCATGATTTATTTACGTACACCCTACTTTTCTCCTCAAAGCAGCTTACAACATCATTGTGCCTTCCTCCATTTCATCCTCACAACAGCCCTGTGAGGTAAGTTAGGACGAGAAAGTGTGACTGTCACAAAGTCGTTTGTTGAGCTTCCGTGGCAGAGTGGCGATTCAGACCTTCCAGTTTCTAGCCTTTCACTCTGATCATTATACCAAACCGGTTCAGTAATTCAGTACAGGTTTTCCATGAAGTTCAACTGTGAGCACCTCCATCAACAAGATCCCAGACAAATATTTTGAGGAACATTTTTTCTCTGTCTGAGACTCCAGAGGGTTGCTACCATTAAATGGAGACAGTCCTCAGCTAAATGGGCCAGTGTTCTGACTTTAGTGTTCTGTGTGTGTGTTATCTAAGTTTTTTCATGAGCTAATTAAAACCTCCAATACAGCCTTTTGTGACTCTGGTGGTGGTTGAAAGTGCTGTTAAGTCAAAGTTGACCTCTGGTGACCCCATAGGATTTCAAGGCAAGAGCCACTCAGAAGTGGTTTGCCATTGCCTGCCTCTGCATAGTAATTTATTTATTTATTTATCCATCCCTTGACTGTCTCTTATCCAAGTACTAACCAGGGCCAAACTTGCTTCGTTTCTGAAATCCAACAAGACTGGGCTAGCCTGGGCTATCCAGGTCAGGGCTTTGTGAAACTACTGGAGATAAAATAGTAGCTCATACTGATGCTAATACTGTTTACAGCCAAAACTAATACAGGCCAAACTCCTTTAGAGAGTATTCAAGTAATGACATTTAAATGCATTTTGCTGATAAAATGGGCTTGACTTAAACTCTCCACTGCCTGTCAAGAGCAGACTTCGCTAGCATAACATTTTGTTCTGTACAGCCTCAGGGTGGGGTGGGGGGTTACCCACCTGTGTTTGTGCTACCCACATGTAACTTTCCACATTTGGCATTTGGTAAAGAGACAGTTGTTTCAGCTTTTCTGCTGATGTAATTATCCATTTACAAAAAAAAAAGCCAAAAAGGTTTACTGAGTATATTTTCAAGCCTCTGTCCACATACTTCCAGGAGATCCAGCCAGAACTGGAAAGAAACCGCCCAGAACTGCAATGCACAGCAGGGATATTTAGAGCAAACAGGAGTGAATAAGAAAAAAAGCAGATAGGTTTTAAACTTATTAACACGGCAGCTATTTATTGCACCAGACAAATAGTATCAAGACAACAAGCTTTTAAAGGAAAAATGGAGTCAAGGAGATTGTGTTTTTAAAAAAAACCCTACGCGATCATAAAAAAACAATATTTGCATCCCCCACTTCTTTAAACTATGGCAGTAGCCTTTATAGGATTCAATTCCTTAGAGCACAGAACACTGGAAATATATGTCACCTTTAAAAATGAATGTTTAGAAATATACAAATGGAATAAGTCATGTGCAGAAGTAACAGAAAGGAGAGTCATTCTATAGAAGCATCTGCCTGTTTCTACGCAGGCTCTTAGCCACAGTGCCCAAGGAGAGTCAGTCTATAGAAGCATCTGTCTGTTTCTACGCAGGCTCTTAGCCACAGTGGGGCATTTTGGAGCTCCGCTCCCTCTGTGACATTAAAAGGGCCCTCAAGCTGATCGGAAAGGAGGGAGAGGGGCAGCAGCACACCTTCCCATTGCTGCTTGGAGTTCAGGCGTGGGCAGCCCCCCACTTGAAAACAAACATTAAAAGGGTTCCTTTAAAGGGTGTTTTTCAAGTGGAGGCTGCCTGCTGCTGAAATCACTGCTTGGAGTTCAGGGAAGGCATGTGGGCGCCCCTCCCCCTGCTGCCCCGCAAAATTTCCTCATGCCCCACAGCCTAAAATTTCATTGGGGCTGTTTCTAAGTGTGGGCAGGGGGACACATGCTTCTCTTTTTTCACAAGTACCAACTTACACATGTTCAGTATTTTCAGTCCCTTACAATTCCTGAAAACTTGTACATTCCAGGCAACTGGGAACAAAGACATTTGATAAACTGCTTCTTGCAGTAATTCCTTGCTTGGTGAACTTGGCTCATCTCCATCTGTTAACAAAGAGAGAGGTTCCTTCACACATCAAATAACAAAAAGCCCAATACTATTAACATTTTTCTAAATTTGTAACAGCCATTAGAGGGTCTTCTCATTATGATATGTTTAGTACTCTGCAACTAAAAGATAGAAGA